CCCCAAAACCCCAAAACCCCAAAACCCCATGATTGCCAGAAAACTCTTTTTAGAAGTGAAATCAAAACTAATAATAAAAGAATATATCAAAATATAATGGGAAGTAAACAATCATCTTCTATTATGAATCATAACATCAACATGGCACTTAGTAAATCTTTTATAAGCCACTTTTTAATTGATATTTTTAGATTATCAAGAGGAAAATTATGATTCATAAGAGAATAGGAGGAATGTAAACATAGGTTTTGTGAGGAATAATGAAGAAAGTAAATTACTTCTTTAACAAATTTTAAGACATTAGAGTAGAGGATATTAACTTGGATAAATAAGCGATTAAAGGATCTGTGTAAATTAAAAGCAGTTTGAACGTGCCTGACAAGAAAAATACAGCGAAGTCAAAGGAATTACTAGATTAATCCTAGTTTAATACCAGAAATTACAGAGACATGGAGGAGGAAATACTTAGAGAGATTAGTGCAGTCCATCAGATTGATAGAAATCTAAATACCACAGAGCTCAATTCATTGCAGTATGATTTTGAGGATATATTGAAGAGTGATCAACTCGAATTACTTTGTAATAATTCATATGAACTCCAATTATTAGAGCTTTAACAGTACCAGAGTCAAGACCCAAATGGCAATGGAGTCAATACGTTAACAGATAACTTCGACATGCTTGATCAATTTAAATCCCCTATTCTATCAAACAAGATAAAGTCAAATTATGATGAAAAGTATAGAATTAGAGGGTAAATATAAAAAATTAAAAAGGGAATTTATATAGGAATCATTAACCTAGACATTCAAATCTCTCCATTGAAAGTTTGATTAAACATGCAAGATTAGAGGATTCTTAAGATTTATCTTTTAAACTTCCAAATATTAACAGGTGAGCTTCCATAATATTGTAAATTTTTAGAGAAATGATAGATAGCGTAAATCTGCAATTTAACGATGAAGATTTGATGGATGATATAATGAATAATCATGGATCCAAAATGAATAAAATTAACTAATGAACAAAATGGCTAGGGCTGATCCAATTTTAGGTTACTTTACTTAAGTTAGCATTAATAATTTATTAAAGATTATTGCAATGCTTATCAACTTATTATAACAATTTTTTATTTGAGATTGTTAACAACAAGTTTCATATTTTTTTGAATACACTCGGGGTTTTGGGGTTTTGGGGTTTTGGGGTTTTGGGG